GTCTTCAGAGTACAGTGACAAAAGGCACATAATGTTTTCATTCGGGTCTGGTTGACCCGCATGATTAATGGTGCCGTATTTGCTTTGTGGTCTTAATCGACCGCCTGATGTTTGCGGTCCGTGCGTTGCTGACGTCTGTTCCAAGGTCACGATTGATGCAGTTGGTTGCTTGGAGCAATAACAAAATATATATAATGTTCATATTTAGGTCAATTTTGGTGTTTACGCATGGGTTCACTTTCTCCATTCCTGTTCCTTTTTTAGTTATGATATGCTCTGCCACAGTGCACACAAACGTTAAAAATTATTAAAGTGCATGAACACCATTATTAATGTGTGTTATGTACTGCATAATTACGCAACACGTCCGCTCAATAATCAACAAAGTGAGACTGAAAAAGGCACACACATTTACCGTGTGTGCTGTCTGTCTAGCGGAAGATCGCTGCGAGATGGCCTACTAGTAGCGAAGGAGCGTTAAATAGGATGTTGTAAGTCAACATTATTTCCATAGCCCTTTCAGAGTAGCTTACGTAAGTCGGGTTTGACTGTATTGATGTGAACCAGCTAGTTGGTTTTTAATTTTGTCATAATGTTGCCATACTTTCCGGTTGGAAAGCATTCTCGTTGCCTCCGCGAGCTTGTACGTTGCTGGAATTACAGATATCCCCCATTTGAGCCAGGCACATATAAAGAGCCTGGGAATCTAGAAGCAAGTGGGTGGTGCGACGCTGCCATATAGCTGATGTAGCGACTTATATTGGTCATTCTTTATTTCAGTATCGGTGTAGCCAACTTTTATTTTTATCTTAAGGTATCGTCTTAGAAACTTCTCAAACTTCTCTCGGTGCACTATCATTTTTTAACTTGCATAGTTTTTTGCAGTCCGAGATATGCCACCAGAGGCTGCAGTTAACTCGGTAATGTCGATGGACAATGCGACGTGGCATGAGCTGCAGGATTTCAGCACAAGGCGCAACGTTAAAGTCTGTTCACGGGTAGGTAGAGCCGGTCGAAACTAGTTTTGTTCTTTTGGGGTAAAATCCTCTCGACAAGTCTGAACTGTGATGATAGTGCTATGAAGCTTTTCAAAGGAGATTAAATTCTTAACAAATCTTAGCATCAGATGAGGCTATTCTTAAGTATCAGAATAATTACTGCATGCTGCCACTCTTTGACTGCTTCCTTCATTTCAAGCCTCACGGTTGACTGCTCAAAAGAATTTTCAGTCCAATCTCAGCCAGAGTTTTTTTCAGTTCTACTTGAGTTTCATCTGGTTCAACAGCTTTACTATGTTGTTTCCTTTGAGTGCATTCACACTTATCGTTCGTCATTGCAGTTCTATTCAGACGCGCTACTTCGGTTCTGTTCTTTCGCCGAGTGCGTCTGTATGTAACGAACACTGAAACAATCCTCAGATATATAGGCTGGCTGCATAATGGGTACTCGTTGACACTGCAGATAAAATGTTGTGAGGTCGTGGCGGTTCCAGTACTGCTGAGCTTGATTAGAACAGAATAGTCCAAAGGTCAGTGACGAGACTAATGCATCTTGCTTTTACAAGTTTTGTTTGACTTTCGCCATCTTTATATTTTCTTCTACGCTAGTCGTTGTTAGTTCATCCATCTATTCAGGTTGCTTCATTAGACTTTATAATGGTTCAGTACTGCAGCCAAAGGAAAAACCGCAACATTCTGTATTACACAGCGCGAGAATGCCATTTCCAGGCCTTCGGTATAGCAGTGACCTGGTGGCACAGTGTTTAAGTAGTCGGCTTCGATCTCCGGAGGTTCCGGTTTCGATGGAGGGCAGTCTTTGTCTTAATAACAAATTCCCTTGAGCAAGGAATTTCTCTCGTTACTTCAGAACGGTGTTGCCCAGTTGGTAGTCAAAGGTTATGAGATACCCATCTGGCACAGTTGATCTACAACTGAAACGGATGTGAAACGCTTCAGGATGTTGACCAATTTAAGTATCTTTGCTCTGTCATCGCTAGTGATGACATTTTTCAGCTAGAGTTAAATAGGAGGATCGTTCTAACCTAGTGCGGTTGCAGAATTGCCCATTATTTTGGCTGAGATAGGAGTAACTGTTTCCACAAAAAGTCACCTGTTCCTTACGTAGGTCAGGTCAGTGTTGTACGGCGTGGAACAGACGTTTTAACATAGGAGCTAAAACGGCGGTAGAACTACAGCACAGTTAGCTTCGACACCTAATGATTGTTATATGGCAGAACCGCGTAAGGAATGATGTTTTTTCTTCTAGACACATGTGGCCTTTGTAGATGTGGAGATTACGAAAAGTTGGTTTGTCCTGTTAGACAAATCGATTTTGTGTAGGTCATTTGCTCCAGTCCGTGAGTTTCTCGTGTAGACGCCGAAACACGGCAAACGCCGACCAGGTGACC